TGCTGCTGCGGACGCTGTGGCTGCGGACGCTGCTGCCTCTGCTGCTGTGGCTGTTGCTGTTGCTGCCTCTGCTGCTGTGGCTGTTGCTGCTGTTGCTGCTGCTGCTGCTGCTGCAGTGGCTGCTGCTGCCGCTGCTGCTGCTGCTGCTGTTTTTTGCTGCTCTTCCTCCTTGGTGAAAACAAAGAGAAATTTTGTGAACGTAGCAATACAAATAAGTTGTAGTGAATTTTTGCAACATATGCGAGCTCGCAGTAGGTATATCTATGTATCTAGTTGCGACTTTCATTCACTTTAATTTATACTGATGTGAATACATATAGCATTTTTTAATGACTTAATTATTTACGATACCTATAATCCTTTTTATTTTTTAGTGTTTTTTTAACTTCTTGGAGCACTGCTCCTTCTGGCAGGGTCGGATCCCCTATGAGTTCATGGAGCTGCAAAGGAAAAGTGTAACTCGTCACTTTTTCATGATTTGGTTGTAGTTAATGTGTAGTTTGTAATTAGTGGCATGTGACTATACTGTGTAAGGTGTGCATAACATATAGTATTTACTCACACGGGCCACTGCTTTACTAATGCCTCCTTTGTTTGTTCCATGAAGCTGCAACTGGCTATTTAATTCTCGCTGGAATGCAGTAACAATGTGCTAGTCAAAGTGCACTATATTGTTCAATTCAATTTTTGATTTGGGTTTTCAAAATATAGTGCGAAATAAATGCTAATTTATAAGTATTTCAAGTATGGGCAAAACAGTACGTCGTATGGTAAATGAGTGTATGATTCTTACGAGAAAAACTTTTCGGGCCTCGCCCATTTTATTTTTCCCTCCTCGCTTGAATCAGACACTTGGCATTCCATAAGTGGGTTCATCCTGTAAAAAATTGTTACGTGTGCTTTATAATACTGGGAAACTATGCACATTTTTAATCTCAACAGGCAGGAAAATTGATTGGCTAGCGTGCAAGTTGCCAGACAGCAAATGTAGACGTCGGATGAACTCCTATGTCATAATGCAGCGTGACATCCAAGTCTGCATCAAATACTTTGAATATATATATATACATACATATATCAATAGAAAGCAGAGACACCACCGAGATATCATATTAATTAATCATGTAGATATGAAGCCTGCCGAAATATCAGCTTGACACTCTCCAAGTCGTTGAAATACACGCATAAGTCATAATTTTGGCGACTTGCATATAAGTCGACACAAAAATGCTGGTCCCAAATGTGTTCACTTATGCGAGTTTTACTGTACCAGTAAATTTTCAAGGCATGGTAGTTGTCATCAATGATGTGATGAACTTTTATTATGAATAGAGTGTAGACCTTACCTATATGATTAGGTAATGCAATAGGTTTTTTTTTATTATAAAGTAAAATGTGATTTGTACTGATGGATTTTTTATTCAGTTTATTTTCTTCATTATTCGTCATTCACATGGGAAACCAAATGACCTAGTAAGTATGGATCTACAATGCTGACATGAAATTATTTCAATTTATTATTAATGAATAATATAATACTTTTTAAATTTTCTCTCTACATTGAGAAATTTGTATTGTATGAATGAATGGAAATAATCGTTTGATTTGAAGAAAGGTGGAATCAATAAATAGCTAATGTAATTATGTGTTTGTAATTATGTAAATGTAAATTAATTGTCATCTTGTCGTGGGAAGATGAGTATCAACTCAAAAATTTTATAAATAAACTGTATCAACCACAGGTGCAATGGCCGGCACCACAGCGTACTTGTTTTATTCTTTGTGTGTTTGTTCGTTAACGTTACTTGTTAAATAAATTGTTTCCATAAAGATATATATTATTACAGTATAACCAGTATAAGTTAAAGAATGCGTGTATATTTCGCGAACCGCAGTGCGCGATCACGTGAAAGATTCATAATTCAACACGACCGGCAAAATTGTCCGTCATGTCGAAATCTCGCGGAAAAACATATGTCGTGGAGGTACATACACTGAACGCCTTAACTCGTCTGGTTATTAGTACACAAATACTTTATATCGTCTTACTGCATATATCGAAAGTAATGGCGTATTGGGGAAATTGATGCGCCAAATAAATTAACAAACATTTCAAGCTTTAAATTTTCTGTCATGAATTTACTTAATAATTCAGGGTTCTCCCGCAGGATGAAATTCAAACGGGGGAAGGGGAGGGGGAAGGGGGAGGCGGGGAAACTAGGGGGGCGGTTTTTTTACCGTCACCACTAAATTAATGGCGCTATAAAATCGGCTATCCACATCATAGCACGGTAATTGTGGGGTTCTTGTCATATATACAGATATAGCCGAGTCCGGTGTACAGTGTGTTCGGGTGTGGTGACAGGTTCGACTGTTTGTATTGTCTGCAGTGCATACGTGGTACTGTAAAAAATAAACCGCGCGGGTATCCTGGGTCCAGAAATTGTACTTCTTGACGATCGATTCCCGCGCTGGCAACTTTTATTGTGGTGGAATTTAAATCGGGGCGCACTCACCACCGGTGCGGCAACGATTGAAAGCAGGGGGGAGCTTTTCCGATAGGCGTAGGGATGACACCCTGAAATTTATTGATAAGTTTAATCATAGTATATATACAGAACTGCATGCAGCGCCCCTTTCCCACAGCTGGAGGATAATACCGCTGCACAATACTAGCACTATTTTTTTAAGTGGAGCGGAGTCTCCGTGCCGGAAATCCAAGCAATGGCAATGCCAACAGCCGCGCCCCGAAGTCGGCCGTCGAACAAAACACTTAGAAAATATTCTATGATTTGCATTGTTGTTGGTGACAAATTTAGATGTTTTAAAAGGCTGAAATACGCAAAAAAATGTATCAAAGACAATGTCCTCGAGAATTAGGTAATATGGCAATCAATTCCAAATAATTCATGATAAAGCTAACGTGAACTTAATTTAGTAATACCAGCGTAATGATTTGAAAAGTAGTAAAGTGGTGCACTATTTCATATTACTATATTATCAAATTTCTGCATAAAATAATTGGTTGGATATTTAATATCTTTGCACGCTTTTATCAGTACATCACCCGTATTACATAGGGATAGCCGCAGTAACGGGGTGCTGTAAAACTCTATAGTTAAAAAAGCGAAGAAATTCTTTTACGGGAAATCAGCTTGTGGCAGTGGTAGAACTTGAGCCAGAGCGAGAGCGGCCATCTGTCGATGGAGTTTGATACTATAATACTAATATGTCTGCTTTACAGCTATGTGGCTCACGCTGGTTCAGTTAAAAACTCCATCAGTGCATTCAGTAGTTTGTCAATTACGCTGAACGTAAAAGCGATCTAGAAAGTTTATCCGGTTTGTAAAAGTGTCGTCTGCTTAGACAGTGGAAGAACCTGGCGTTAAAAACAAAACAGGAACAGCTGCGCAATCTGATTTATGGTGAGTATGCGTTATTATCGGGGCGATCCTTTTCGCGTTACGTTGTTAGAGTGGTATGTGGCTACCCATTATTGTAGATTTGTAGCGTAGATTAGGCTCCCCGAGTCGCTCATTAGACCGCTTAATCCATAATTGCCGATCTTCCATCGTCCTGTCATGTGTGGCCACGGATGTTTCTCGCGGAAATTTTCCTTAAGCCCCGTATCTTTACTGCGGAGTAGACTGTTATACCGACACGGCCTCGTAACACGTTACTTGGGGGCCATCAGTGAATAAAGTCGAGGCATGGAAGTACAGAGAAAGCGGGTAAAGCAATCATAAAAAGTCTATGATCAATTTTAGTCGTTTAATGGGGGCAGGCGCACGTCATGCCGAACATATTCTATTCGGCTGTCGGGCTTTGTGACCCTCTCGGCCACGGCAGTGTTAAGCGAGAAGAGGACTTGTGGCTACCTCTCGATACTACCAATCCTGGAAGACGCTAGACTCTTGGCTCCTTATAGACTATGCCAAGTCAATTAGCACAACGTCGCCCCAGGACTAGGGTTACAACGCGTTCGCTATGTCGTTTTCCTGTGGATTGGAACATTCAGCGGAAACGTCGCCTCTGAGTGAATCACTCAGTGGCGGGCGCCCCTGTGTACTGGCCGTGATGCCGGCTGTTTTTCAATAACTAGAACTTCCAAATCTGGGTCTGTATTTGCCCACACGAACCTTTCTCTCTCCGCTATCTTGGGAGACCGTTTACTGGAGTGACGAGCGAGATACCTATGTATTAAACTAACTAGTACCGACGCTGTTACAAAAATTCGAAGTGACGAGCGACGAGCGGCGAATATACTGAGCGCCATTTCTGTTGACCTGTGACGTACTTCGGTTTGAAGAGCGGATTCACCGACCAATCGGAGGGCGCTGCGTTTGTCGATCGCTATGCGCATTGGGAATGCGTACATCACAGGTCAACAGAAATGGCGCTCAAAATATCCGCCGCTCGTCACTTTGAATTTTTTTAACAGGTTATATTAGTTTAATACAGAGTATTGTGATACATAGTAAGTTCCAAGATAGCAGAGAAAGGTTCGTGTTGAGAATAAACCCAGTTTGGAAGTTCGATCTAGTCTCTGAAAACGCACCAGCAAACCGCCCTGAGTGATTCACTTAGGGATTCCCTGAATTTCCTCCACAGAAAACCATAGCGACGCGTTGTAACCCTATCATGGGGTTTGGGTTACGTTATTGTATCTAAGACCCTCTCAGATCAGTAACAGTGTCTCGTAAATGTAGTCCAAATCAAATGCTTCTCTGCAACACACAATTTTACCGCACACACTGCGCATGAACTCGCAGAAAGATAGCTTTATGCACAGTGGCCTGCGTGCACGCAATGCGGTGAAATTGTGTATTGCAGAGATTATTGGTATTTAAATAATAAGATCGATTTGTTATCTAATCCAAGTGCCAAGTCGTTCCAAGTGCCAAGCCTTTACTAATGCTAACTTTATCATAGGACTATGGAGAAAGCTTACATCGTAACTATGGAATGTTTAAAGTCTCTCCACTTTTCATACCGAGTATCAAACAGCAGGAAATTGGTTTAATTCTTTGTTTTAAATTCACTGATTGACTGAAACATAACAAAAGTCACGCCATTTTAAAAAGTAGTAAAAGCGCCATCTCTAGGTTCATATATGAACTATATATGCATTTTGTAGCCAAAACTTTTTAACCCTCCCCAAAGCACAAAATGTGGATATAGGGCCCTACGGCTATAATACGCGTTTTTACAGTCATATAAAAATACATACACACACATACACGAACGGACGCGCACACGCACGCTTGTACTTGCACTTACAGCCAGTAGCCTACGTACGTTTGTATAGCTCGTATGACTGCGCGTACGTGTGCGCATCTCCCTCTCCATTCCTCCCTCCCGCCGCCACTCATTCCCGTTATCTGCTCTTTCCTTCACCATCCCCTCTCACTGCCTTCCCCTCAGTATTCCCCTCCCCCTCTCGCGGTTAGTATCGCCCACGGCATCAAGTGCACGGTGAAAAGTTAGCCAGGCAAATGGCTGGTTTTCAGCTTCAACTTTTTCACACCACAACGCACAAAATATGATTATACGGTTATAATACGCGTTTTTACAGTCACATAAACACACATACACACACACTAACGGGCGCACACGCGCGGGTATGGTCGCGCGCACGCGTGTGCGTGTAGTTAGGCGTAAATTCACATTTTGTGCCTCGCGGGGTGAAAAAGTTCGGCTGAAATACGACCATTTACATGCAAAAGTTTTTCCCAGCTTGACTTGTCGTGGGCGATACCATCCGCGAGAGGAGAGTAAGGAAGTGAGGAAGTAGAAGAACGGATCGAGAGGCGAGTA